ATGGACTTTTCACTGAAAACGCAAACATAAATTCGAAAGCATCAGAAATTTTCAGATTCTACATCTTCGAAGAAGTAAGAATTTAATAGTCTGAATTCGATGGCGACAGTTAAATAATTTAGAAATCTAGAAGTTAAATAAATATTTGAGACGTTTTTTCTGATGAAGAATTACTCATTTCAATACTTACTTACACCTTCGAGACGTTTGATATCCCGAACAACTTTTACAAAGTATTTTGTCGCGAAGAAAATTAAAACGATCAAAATTACTATCGGTATCAGTATCCATTGATTAATTATCACCTCCAGGATCATTACTCCGCAAACTCTAAAAAATATCCCGACCGCGTCTAACATTGTTTTGGGTAGTAATTCATCCATAGTGCCTACGTCCTTTGAAAATCTGTTTAAAATTCTCCCTGGAACACGAAAATCGCTCAATCTAAGCATGAATCAATAAAAATCCTGAAATTAAATTTTAAAGATTGGAATCGCGATGTGAAATGATTTATATTTTTGATATTTTATAGTTCGATAATATAAATATGCGGATAAATTTATAATCATCAAGCATTTCTTTAAATAATATGGATTTAAATGCCATTCGATAATATCGACTCGACGGAAATATTCCTGCTTCCGATTAAAAAATATCGTAACCTTCAGTGGAAGTAATTCTCATAATATTTTTATCTCTAGATACACACTGGGGTCCCCAGGATCCCAGCAAAACTTTCTCGGTTTGGCATTTCTAAAATTGGAAGGTGAGAGGTTTGGGATATTGACGTAAAAAAGGTTTCTTCTCAGTAGGAAGACGTGCTGACACGCGGCAATTGTTGCTCAACAATCGAGCAGTGTATAGAGTTGAAGTGAGCGTAAAGTCCGAGACTGTTTGCAGTTTTGTAAAAAAATTAAAATATCGCCAAATTTTTTTTGTTACTATTTCAAGTATGCCCTTTCAAAATTTTAAGGATTTTTTAAATCGGTTTATAAACATAAGAGTATAATTTTTAAAAGTTTTATATCGAGATTTTTTCACGTTTTTGAACTTTCCTTGTTCTTTAAACCCGTATATCTTGGAGCTCCTTAAGTCTATCGACTTTTAAACATTATAGGCTTGGTCCTTAGTCGATTCTCTATCGATTGAAAAAAAAATTAATTGAAATATGTCCATTTTTAGACTAGA